AAGAAAGGCAAATAATCTAAGTGAATATAACTTTGCTTTGAATTTCAACTCTATTAAAAATTTCGAGTTCCCATTATAAATCAATAGACTGAAGACATTTATCAAGATTATTTCTCTTGGGAAAGTCACCTGAAATAATAGAGGCCTCAGGTGACACTAAGAGGTTCTATTAGCCACAAATCACAAATGTACAGGTGGAACTGGAATGGAGAAATGGCAAACAAGAGAATAATAAAAGGCATGCTAAGGCATAACATGCACAAGTAAGGAATTCGAGGAGAACCAAACCGGTTCATTGCATAAAATCCTGTAAGAAATTGGATATTGGAGACTAAGGCTGGGGAGGTTATTTAAAAGTCTACAGAAGGACCGGTAGACTCCCAGGTCCCTGAGTCCAGCCCATGCAGTCAGATGACTGTCCTCTCTTTCCAATGTAAATAATTGAGGCACATCAGATTCTCTCAAATCTATAATTCTCTTAATTCTATAATTTTCACAACGAAAACCTAGAGAGTGAACTTTTGTGCAGGTAGGGGTGGGAGTACTGGGCATTGAACCAGGCTGGTGCTGTGCTGTTGAGCTATTTCCGAGGTCCAGGACATGAGTTTTTAAACATTGGTTTCTCCCTAGCAGATGGTAGAAGGATTTCATAGTTGTATTTCTATTGCATATTTATTCAACAGATACTTACTGAGTGCCTGCTGAGTGCCAGGTACTGTCTTGTGGCAGGTAAAAAGGTCACATCACACACACCCTGTTCCACTTAATGCACAGATACTTAGAGCTCATTGAGAAGAGCCTGATGGACCAAGAAGTAGCAAGGCATATACTCCTTCAATTTCCAGTAGTCCACGGCTTAGGCAGCCTAGAGACGGGCTGCACAAACCTTGGTCAGTATGGAAGTTCAAGTAGAGAAGGGCTCCATGTCTGTAATCCTCTATGAAGTTAAAGTGTGTGGGAGAGGAGCAGGGGTTCATTGTGGTGGCTCCTTAGTGCAGTACGACAGCTGCCCTATCACACAGGGAGAGTTGAGAGTGCCACTGTTCTTCCATTGAGCTAAAGCAGACCCGCTAGGAGAGCACTCCGCTAAGCCTGTGCCAAGGGGCATCTGGTGGTGTCTCTTCTCAACCCAGCCCCTGGAACATGAGGATCACTGAGTGTAATTCTCTGCATTTTCTGTGGCTGGCATTAAATTATAAGCATGTTTTATGCTTTTGTTCTCAGGTGAGTGTCAAGAAGATCTCACATAGCTGGGCCAAGTGGTGGCCAACAGTGAGGAAACAATGGAAGGCTGGGGCTCAGTGGTGCATAGCATTCATCTGTGGTAGGAAAGATAGTTTCTGTCCCCTCTTCACACCCACTGGCTCTACCTCCTTGTCCATCAATCACGGCCCATCACCTCCCTGCCAGGATGAACTGGGCTGCACTTTAGAGTCTGACCCCCCAGGAATACAGGTGTCACTATTTTGATATCATGAATGACCTCTGAGGAGAGAAGAGGCAATGTCAGTGTCCAATTTCATGTCTACCGAATGCCTTCAATCAGAACATTATGAATTGTTTGTCTATTGAGGAAGTTGAGCCCATCATGAAAAAAAACAGGCATTTATATTCCTGTTTAGCTGAGTACTACTTGAGAACAGAGGGCAGCATACACCACCTCTCCACAAATTGTCCTCTTCACTATTCACCAATTCCTAGATGCCAAAGTAGTTCAACCACCTGAGGGAGGATAAGAAACTGTATAGTAATTGAGGACACTTGGAAAACCCAGACTTACGGAAGTCTTCAAGTTTGGCATAGTTAAAAATTGTACAGGCTTTGTGCATAAGAATGGTTCTTGTGTGGATTAAAATAATTTCTTGCCTAGTAATCTGCTTTCTTTCTTTCTTTCTTTCTTTCTTTCTTTCTTTCTTTCTTTCTTTCTTTCTTTCTTTCTTTCTTCCTTCCTTCCTTCCTTCCTTCCTTCCTTCCTTCCTTCCTTCCCTCCTTCCTTTCTTTCTGTATTTAGTTCAGGGTCTACAGGGTTTCACTGCACAGATCCTCCTCTTTTCAACCTCTGACCTGCTGGGATTACAAGCACGTGCCACCACACCCAGTCTCAATTATAGTCTCATCGTGCCTCAGGGGTAGGGCCAACACAGCACACTGGGGATCAAACCCTGGTTCTGGCTGGCCCTTTTTATCTTTTAAAACCAAAGCATTTATTCTGAGTAATAGCTGAAATTCTCATGATGAACTGACTGCTACAGCAGCTACTCTCTTGGGTTAGCTGTGGTTCCTTCACAGAATCCATGCCTCAATCTGCCATATACAATTTTTAGGTACCTCATTCACCCAGTTCCGGTGGGATTTCTCCTTTTAGCCTTTTAGTCCTTCTGTGCTTGCTCTTATGTGTGGTAGGGTGGTCACATTTGCCACAGGCTGACTTCTGAAGGTGGAGGGCCTCAGAGCCATGGCGACGGCACGCATGTGCTCTCCAAATGATGACAGTCCCTTTGTCATCTTGCTCGTGCCACGGAGACCAAAGAAGCTAGTTGCGCTCTTTATGGTAGTTCGCTGTTGAAATTCTTCTGAGCTTCACCTTGCTGTTCACTGATATTGTCAAAGCAAGCTCTTTTCTTCATGTGGTCACTTCATGTAAACACAAGGATCAAGCATAAGGGTTGGGCTCACACAAATCAGGGTGCTGTATCTGAGTCAGAAAGGTGGCCAAGGGTCTTGCTGGATAGCTCACTTGTTTAGCAAGAGACAGCCTGATAGTCCAGCCCTGCGTGGTGCCAGGGCATGACTTGCAAGGTGACTACCAGTTAGCTTGCTCAGGTACGTGTTTGTCTCAGGGCAGTGAACTGTGGCTACTGGAGCCACAGAGCCTCCAGTGCCATGGATAATCCACAGTTTTTTTATCATTATACTAAGATGGATCATCCTCTTGATGTTTTTAAGTTATGAGGGTTGAAAGGGAGGTTCTAGTTCAAGCCGGCAGTTTGCATACAGTAGTGGTCAAGACTAACTCTGGTTCTCATGGGTGATTAGCAACCCATTCAGATAGAAGACTAAGGTCTTTTTATTCTTCATCAGAGATGCGACTTTCATTTTATGTGAAACTAGAAGAGCTGGTTATGGTGGCATACACCTGTAATCCCAGCACTCAGGAGGCTGAGGCACGAGGATTGCCACAAGTTTGAGGTCAGCCAGGGCTACATAAGCAAGCTCAAGGCTGGTCTGAACTACAGAGTGAGACACCATCTCAAAAAACCAAAACCAAAAAAACAAAAACGGAAAAAAAAAAAAAGGTGGGGAACTCCCTGCTCAGGCCCCTCCTCCTATCCCTCTCTCGGGACAGGAGCGTTCTTTCTCTCAATAAATATATTCTGCTTATTAAAAAAAGAAAAAGAAAAAGAACCTAGAAACCTCCTTGTGTGATGAGACCTATTCAGATATGACTTTTCTAGGGCCAGGGACATAGCTCAGTAGAATAAGAGCTTGCCTGGCAAGCACAAGGTCCTGAGTTCAATCCCTGGTGCCACAGAAATACACATGACTTTTCTAAGTTCACGCCTGCTGGGACTCAGTAACAGTGAGTGGCAGTGGCCACTTACCAGTGGAAGAAAATTCTGGGGCCTCAAAGGACTGAGGTAAAATGAGTTTTAGTGGATTGTTACTTAGTAAAACTCTAGCCAGTACGAATCAGCTGTGAGAGTGTCTGGTGTGAAGGAGATAACAGGCTCCAGGGAAAATCTGGATTTTCGCTAATGGAGAAAAAAGATAGTCAACGTTAAGGCTTATTTATTTATGTATTTATTTTAGTTGGTGCAGGACCAACTGTGTGTGTGTGTGTGTGTGTGTGTGTGTGGTCTATGAAATGCCCGTAGGTTCCAAAATATGCACAGTCTTTGGGATGACCAGGGGTGGCCTTGGGCTCCGTGCCCTTGAAGCCCTGCCCCTCGTGTTTAGGTGACCGGTGAGGCAGTTTGGGAAATAGCTGTGAAGGGTGCTGTTATGAACAGGCCAGCTCACTTAGAGATTCTTGAAGTTTTCAAGGAAAAAAAGGGAACCGAACAACCCTTTAAAAATGTCCTTGTTGTTTAGTGACTCATACTGAAGTATTTACTGATGAGATAATAGGATGTTTGGGATATTCTTTAAGATGACATATGGATATAGGAGGAAGAAGAGAAGGAAGAGGAAGAAGGTGATATAGCAGAGACCAGAATAGTTACAAGTTGATAAATATTGAAATCATGCTGGACATGGTAGCATGCTTGTAATCCTAGCACTTGGGAGGCTGAGGGTCGCCACAAGTTTGACGCCAGCCTTGGCTACATAGTGAGTTCCAGGGTAGCCCAAACTACACAGCAAAACCCAGTCTCAAAAAAAAAAAAAAAAAAAAACAAAACTGAAATTAATTAATGAGGTTATCATGGTACCATAAACATTAAAATGAAATAAAGACGTTTGCAGATAAGCCAACTGACAGATCCATTGTTAGAAAACTTGCACAGAAGAAATATGTAGAGAAGCTTTTCAGTCTAAAAGAATAGATACTGAATGGAAACTGAGCCTGATAAACAGGAATAAAGAATACAAGAAATGGCAAATGTGTGGGGAAAACAACGTCTGTGGATTATTTTACAGTATGGATCAAGGCAAAACAGCGCGCTGTGACATGTACAGCGCATGCGGACGTGAGCCACACATGGTGGTGGGTGCCCAAGACCCCAGCTGCGTGGAAGGTTGAGGCAGGAGAACCAAAGTTGGGGGCCAGCCCGGAAGCTTAGCCGGACTCTATCTGAAATCACAATCCAAGAGGCTGGGTGTAGCTTAGCACTAGCGTGCTTGCTAGCAGGCTTGAGGTCCCGGGTCCATCCCGCGGACCACAAAACGGAAACAAAAACTATAGAACTTATGGGGGCGTAGTATGAGAAAGGCACATTTGTGATTTTAACTGAATTTTACATACTAGCACTCTGAAACACGTTTCCGTATCTTTCTTTGAGGTTTGTCCAAGACTGGTTTTCAGAGAAAAAGCAAGTGGCCAGAGTGGATTTCTCTACCGTGCTGCCGCGCTTCATTTCTCTGTACATCTTTTCGTTCCTGAACCCCAAGGATTTGTGTGCAGCTGCCCAAGTCAGCTGGCCCTGGAGATTTCTCACGGAACAGGTTCGCTGCTGAAAGTGGGGCACAGAGGCAGTGGTAATCTGCAGGGAAGTCGGGGTGCTCGTCCCCATAGAGTTCAAGTGACTCCTACGTGGAAACGTGCAGATGGGGGAGCTAGACTGATGCACCGGTTCACTAGGTGACAGACACTATTCTGATAACTCATGTAATTTTTAAGACTCTTGATGCCT